CAAAGCACGCTACCTCAGTCGTACGCTGAATGTTCCGGCGCAGAGGCGCGAAGCGGACCATTCAGTGGAGGTACGTACTGAACCTTCGCTGTTGAGGAGAGGTTTAAATACTACCTAGGTCGTGCCTATAAAGGGCCTGGTATCTCGTGCTCCCCTGGTACGCTTTTGACCCGCTGCCGCTGCTGCCACCTACACATTACTCTGTCCCGGATTTGCTGCTGCCAATACCGCAATTCTCAACTACATTCCCATTTGCTCCAGCTCCTAGCCTGTTTTCTTGTCTCCCTCCTCCCCGATACTCCTCCTTTGCCGTCTCTTCTTTTTGAACTTTTTTACATCATCTGTTACTCCTTTTTCTTCATTGTATTTCATCTCTGTACATTAGCTTCTGTTTGCTGTTTTAGTTTTTACGGCTCTCAATTTGGCTGTCATCAGTTCTAGTAGTTTTGTGCTTTCCCTTTGTATGTACGAGAACACACGTAACGCGTCGCACACATGCGGCTAATTTCACCGCCTGCATGCTTGTCTGCTAACAACATTCATCATTACGTATTTACCAGCTCAAGAGGCTTCGACATCCTGTCGGGGCCGTTGCTACGCTAGTCTTCGCGAAATAATGTATTTGTATCCTGGCTCACGTCCGTTGAGATAGCCCACACCAACTTGATAAATAATATATTTAACAAGGGACAAAAGAAAGAAAGGTATCGTGGACTAGATACCAGGCAGTCCACGTCACAGGAGATCACCGATCAAGGTGGGGGTGGTGTTCACGGAATTTTTTCTGTCCCTGCATCCCATAGATAGCGCCCAGGTCCTTAGGTCTTGGGATGTGCTCGTGTGCAAATACCCGTCTATCAGAAAAAAACGCAAAAACCATTCGCCCTTTGCCAACCCAGCCCCCAGCCTCTTGATCCCCACTACGGGCCTCATGATACAATCCAGCACCACGAATAAAGAAAAGATCTCCTGGATGGGAGGGGAAAGAGCAACCCAACTCTCTGAAATGGAGATTTCCTCCCTCGTATTCTCCAAATACGGCTATTGCATCAAAGCCACACCAGGCAGATCTCCGATCCTTGTGGCGCCGAATATCCGCATTGAAATGGACCGTCTGGCCGAAGAAATGGGACTTGATTTCAGATAGGAAACCCTCGTGATCCCGGTGCTTCCTGATCTGTTCCCATACTTGATCGCTCTGTTTTGCCAATGACGGCGCAATCCTCTCAGTGTACATGTTGAGGATGTGGTAGAGTGGCTCGCATTTCTTTTGGAAGGGGTGATTATGTTCTTTCTCCTTTGAATCGGTGGAGATTTGAGGCGATATTTCCTATGGGAATATATTTAATTTAAATAATCAAGAAAACAATCAAAACTCACGTAGTGACCCTGTTGGTGCCAGTAACCATAATGGACTTGGCCATTCTGGAATAGATCCAATGATGGAACAAAGTGGTTCCGGGATTTCTTCTTGTCGAATTTAAAATTTCGATTGAACTCGCGACCAGCATTCAAAATTTCCTCCTTGGAAATAATCAGGTGAGTTTTGCAGCCGAGGATATGAAAACATACATGAATTGGGCTAAAAACATTTGGGATCCGTATAGCCAGCAGGTTCCCTGACCGATCCTCGATGGCCGCACCAGCCTCACTCTCAAGTAGGGTCCGGGCATGATTTGAGGAGAGAGGAGGGAGCTCGAGGTCCTTTGGATGTGACTGGCTCTTTGCAGGCGGAACAGCCCCATCATTGTGGCTTGCTATGTCAGCATAATCGAAGTCGAGTTTTACTATTTTGGGTTGCATTGAGAGAGAGGGTAAGAAATGGTATTAGGAACATACTTGTGTTCGTCATGGCATTACAAATATTGATATCTACTTTGCTTTCTGCCACCTCCACAATATGCCGGATCCGAGAGTCATCGATACCCTTTAGGCGCTCCTTGTGTGCTCTCTGGGACTCAAGTCTAAAATAAAGGTAGGTGGTTGATATCAACAAGGGATGAGATAACTCAACTCGGGATTTACAATGAACCGGACTGGTGCGATATTGGCCTCTTGATATTGGTCACACTTCTGCTTCTTCTGCTTCTTCGTCTGTCGCTTTTCCTTGTGTGCTTTCATGGTTGTTGGTATTAAAACTGTGTTGATAAAATGTCTATGTATGCGTGGAGAACTGAAAAAAAAAAAAGGGAAACAATTCAAAAGAGTATTGAATGGCTATAGACATAAGTCATGTTATCATATAGCCTCTTAGGATATTTCTGAAAGAGATGCTTCACAGCGCTCCCCCAGCAGTTGGCTCTCAAACTATGTATGCGCACTGCCCCAGTCGAATTATGGCAAACATTCAAGCTACCTTGATGCTATACCATTGGACATGAACGTTATTTAACACAAGACTGATAAAGTAAAACATATAAGAGGAAATGGAGTTTATCGCTCAGTCCCGTTGTACGTGAACTAGAATAGATTGTAGAATAATCACCTAGCAAGTTTATCGCTGGTGTACAAGTATTTAATACATGATTTGTGCGAGATAGACAAGAGATAACGAAGTCGCCTCAGTCCCGTTGTACGTGAACTGAGGGAAGGTTGGGTTGTCCAAAAATTGGGTTTTTATAGTCAGGTGCCATGAATGTGCACTGACTTTGGCACCGATGTGACCACAAAGGTGAAAATCTGAGACACCACATGACTCAACATCAACAAACATGAAAGCGTACACCATAATACCGAGAATTCTAACAAAATGTTTCCCTTCCAAATCCACACTGGCAACCTACCTGGAAAACTGGATCTCTTTCATGAGCTACGATAGCGAGTCGCCAAACTAACCACAAATTTTCTTGTTGGTTGTGGATGATAAGTGTAAGTGCCTTGCAATATACGACGTTCGCTTGCTTACTTATCGTGTCAAACGAGAGAGAAGGTGAGCGGGCCACAGAACTATGGTGGAACACGAGCAAGATGGGATCACAGTGGCAAGGCCCCGTGACTGTGAAAATATTCTGGGCGAGTTGCTCGCCCAGAGTGTTCCCACACCTGTGGCTGTGATAGTTTCTGGGCGAGTTGCTCGCCACACACTCGTGGCTGTGATAGTTTCTGGGCGAGTCGCTCACCCAGAATGTTCCCACACTCGAACAATCACCATGTTTTCGACTGGGAGGTCCCTCCCGCACTTCAAAAAGAAGTCTAGCACCCCGGCTCCTGCCACCAAACATTTATCCTTGAGTGTTATGGCCCCATGGGTCTCTCTACCGGGTGATGATGTGCCTTTGCCTCTATTGCTCCTCGACGCTTGGGTGGCCCAGTGCCAAATCAGTTTGAAAGGCGCTTGGTTTTTCCCTCAGGTATGCATGCAATTGAATTCAAGGTTATATTTTTCAATGATTTCCAATTTTTTTTTAGGCACAAGATTTGATGGTCTGCGAAATCATTGTGCCATTGGATCGTCGGTGGCAGGACCAACTACTTGGAGTGTTTCGGTGTCGATTTCCGGAGGGAAATCTTGGCGATAAGGCAGGTTGGACAGTCTCTGTCTGTGAGCATGGAAGCCAGAGCGCTCTAGAGCTAGCAGGTACGCATCGTGCAGTATTAACATGATCGCATCTTCATTCCCGCTCACGTTGTGACTAGGCTACATCGATCTATTTCGTGTTTATACTAAATTCACGATTCAAGAGGGCCGCATTAAGTATGTGGACATGATGAAAGATATTGATGCACAAGCTTTACCCTCTCGGTCGATCTCATTTTTGAACGTTCCACCCACCCAGCCCAATACCTCCCACAACACTACGAACCCACCTTTGGTGGAGCTGGAAGATTTGAGTGCATGGGCGGAATGTGGGATTATATCTCAACTATCGCATAATGATGCCATCCATGTATTTTGTCCTCCCAAAGTCACCGATGAACTTCATCTTTCAACGAACCCGTACAATATTTTTCACATTTAGCTTGTATTTATTTTGGGTAGACAATCTATAATCGTCGCGGTCGTGGACACTTTGGATTGTCAATTAAATCACCTGATTTGTCTCTCATCACCTGACATTCACATGTAGATTGTTTGATTCGTCATGATTCCCATTCCCCAGTACTCTCACCACCTCACATTAACGTGTCCGTGATGCCACCCATTCGCTGTGCCTCGCCATCTCCGGAACGCCGCGTCTCCAACTGAGAGCCGCGGACAGCGCCTCGTGCCTGCTCACTCCACTGATGCGAGACATGAGCGACTTGGCCATCCACGGCGTCGCCCAATCCTTTCTCCCTGATTACGATCACATTTACTTTGTATGGCCTTCATTTTTTTTGGTGCGCGTACAGTGTGTCTGGAAAGCGGGGAAGTTCTAGTGACTTGCTGCTATTACGGAGATACTGAACGTGCCACGCATTGCAACCATCAGCACTGTGTTTTCACGTGTGTCGTTCACCTCCTCTTCGTCACTTGGGCAAACTCCCTCACTCGGATCAATCCCATTGAAAATGATGACGACGTTCTAATCTCTTGCCACTCACATCTGCAATCGGCCATGTCCCTCCATCCAGAAGCCATCCGCTCCAGGCTTCACCGTTCTCAGAGTCAACGTCAAGTAGGTACGACCCATCCGCAACAACCCACTGTTAAACCCTTTGTGTGCAACCAAGTGCTACAATATCGGACGATCAACTTTGGCCCTCCTATCGCCTTTTCCCGATTGATTTGATTGGCAACAGAATCTGTGTACATGGTGTGGGGCTCTCCTTCTGGAAAGCGAATCTATCAAATGGTGTTGTTCCGAACTACTATCCCCTCTTCCTCAATTACCTCCTATGTTCCTCACAACGTGTCTTGGGCGAATTCCAATACCCTGGCTATGTCAAACTGAATGGCCAAGCATTTTGGGTCCGATGAAGTCCCACGGGGTGGCTCCATGACGCGCTTTTCCCACGAAAAAAAATACAAACCCCCAAACACCTTGCAAGCTCGGCCAATTCTACCGTAAATCGTCCCGATGTCACGAAATGCAGTGTCAACCCTGGGTTCGGCTCGTGATGCAGCATTCTCGCAAACCGCAGAGCCTGCTGCTCCAGCTGGACGCTCGGTAGGCCCCAATGCACTGGCGGAAACGGTACGAACAAGGATCAAAGATCAGCGCTGTCGAACGTCGACTGAATTACTGTAGGGGCTTGACACTCCGCTAACCTGGACCACGTCTGGGACCTTCATACCATATAAACACGTGGGACCTTCCAGCGCCCTGCGTCGGACTGTGCAAGAGTGGATGGCTCGCACGCACGCAGGTATGTTTCTTCGACCCTGCTGGCGCAATTCGTTTCTCATGACTATTAGGGATCCGGGTAGCAAAACCTCCCAAGGACTTTGTCATCCACTCATGGATACTGCGTTACGCAAACACTCTGAGAAGCTTCAATTTTCTTGGAAATCCTGTCGGAGAACCTGTTTACTCCTTCACCCCTTATCACCTCCTTACCCCTGCCGAACGTAGAAAATTACACAATGCTCCCCAATACCCAAGAACTTCACCCATTCCCTCCCTCTACTCGTCATCAATCTCGCGCATGCCTCTCACGTTCTCACAAAATGCACCATATTGTCCATTCATTCGTCGCACTTCCCTCGACCCCCCTCTTCCTGATTCCTCAGTTGTTGAGGACTGTCGTGGGGGAAAGTGTCTTAAAATTCAGTATATCCACCGTGTTGAGACGTTCGTGCAGTCTCAATTTGACCTCTTCTCGTGGTGGGATGCGATCCGGAGCGATTTTCTCCTAGTCGAACAATGTGTGCCAATGCCTCGAACGCGAGATGGGTTAACTCAAGCTTCTTTTGAGTGGAAGGACAAGCTAAGATGTCGGGGGAGGAACCTTGAGGATCTGATCGACACTGTGGATCAAGTATTTACGTTCGCTTACGAATTGGGTGGTGTTGGTCGATGGTACTGTCATCGTCACATCGAGCGGCTTCTTCGTGGTCACGATGGTAATTATTTTTTGGGCGTGGACGATGAGCTGGTGGGTGCTGTGTTTGAGCTCCCTTTCCCGGACGACTGCCCATCGCTGGGTTCAACAATGGCAAGGCTATCCCGTCACGGCGTTCCTGTCTTTGGGGTTCAAGTCGTTGGGAGTGGGGCCAGTCTTCAGCGAGATTTTGTGCCAGGCGGCTGGTCGGATTCGGATGTTAACAGTCATAAGATGGCAGTTCAGTCCGCATCGCTTCCATCTAAGCGGTCGAGGGACATTGTTTTCAAGCAGCTCGAGTTCATACCCGTTCGCCCAACACCCTGGATCATCAAGCCAGCCCATGGCTATCCAGGTTCACCTGACCTCTCCACTCCAGTGGAATTGGCCCTCGCAGACGCGCTCTATCCTCCACACAACCCGCTCTACACAGAGGAGGAACTGTGTCGGAAAATCAAGTCTTTTTTTGGCCATGGCCTCTTTCCTGTTGTGCCTCCGGCCCGTCTTTCACCCCGTCTTTCACCCCGTCTTTCACCCCGTCCATCATCTTCGGTACTTGGCTGTAGAGTAGTGTCTACCACCTGGCATGATGGAGCCGGGAGCTCCAGTGATGACGAATTCCGTCCTCACTTTGAGCCTCCCCATCAAGAAAATGATGAGGACTCGTCCGAGTATGATGAAAGGGTTGAATCGGCAGCTCGAAAATTTTCCAGTGACCGACAGAGCGTGCGTGCCGCTGGTCAGCTCTTGCAAGATGTGCGGGATGGCGACTCACATGCCACTGCCAGATGTCAAGAGATCTGGGAACGGGGACATGGGAAAAAGAAGAGGCAACTGTCCGCCCATGACTACCACATCGTCAGTAATTGGCACAAGTACAGGCCTGATCGGCAATCTGCCAGATGCCCTCGAAAGAGGCTAAGATTGCAGAGTGATCCTGACGCAATGGACATCGATACAACTGATCCCATTGCTTCAAGCCATCATGTACTCGCTGCTGGTGTCCCCATCACAACTCCTCCATCCCGTTCCCCCCTTGCGTCCAGGTCATTTCCTCTCCCCGATCGTTCCTCTCCTGGTGCCGCGAGTATCGAGACTTCGCGTTCCTTAGGGGCCACGAGCCATGTTAATCCTCCCCCATCTTTGGCACCAACGGTCCCCCTCACAACTCCATCCCATTCCCTCCTTACGTCTCCTCTCCCCGATCGTTCTTCTCTCGGTGCCGTGGGTATCAAGACTCTAGGGGTAGGGGCCACGTCCCATGTTAATTCTCCCCCGTCTTCCACAGTAACGAGTGCCGAGAGACCAAAAATCTCGTTCCAGGAGTACAAGAAGCGCCGTGAGGCACAGAAATCCTCTCTCGCACCTACGACTCACTCCCCACCCTTGGGTCGTTCTTCGCCTGATTCCTCTTCGTCGCTTCGCAAGACAGGAAATGTTGCATTGCCAGACTGCGATGCACCTGTCGTTCCTCTACCATTCTCGAGGCCAAACGATGAAAGGCCGGAGGCATCGGTGCCGCTGAGTGGAGGCAGTCCCCGACACCCCGACACCCCACCTTTGCCAATCCTTGCATCACCCACTCAACAACCTGCTGCATTGCCAATGGGCCACGGTCCTACCCCTGCTGTAGCTTCGTCGCCGTCCTTGAGCCTAAATCGTCAGGAGGCATCAGGCAGCGGCTTCGTTCAATATGTCGACACCGCGGTGATGGAGCCGGAGTGTCTTCCTACGACTGCTCCTGGGCGTCGTGCCACGCCACTGAGTGACCGTGGTGGCGTGGCCGCCCCCTCACAATCTGTGTCGTCGGCCGTGGTTCCTCTTGGCCACTGGTATCGCCTCACCGTAGTTGATGTACAGGATGCAGAGCTGGCCTGGTTGGAAAAGTGCCACGCCCAAGGAGTTTATGCAACGCATCATTCAAGGAAGGGTGGGCGGCATGAGCCACCATCTATGGAGTTGCTCTTCAAGTGCGTGGATAATCGTGATAAAATGGCCGAGAAGTTGCGTTCAGAGGGGAAATCCTGTTCCTCCAACATCTATGTGGGCTCGCTCAACAATCACCACTTCACATTAGATTTGCCGTATGTAGATGTGGCGTTTACGCGTGATCACGTTGATATCACGGCTCTCATGGACATTGCACCTCCGAAGGCCAACAAGATCAATCACCTTCACTCGTTCCTCCAGTACGAGAAATATCCTCCCCTCGTTCCCTGCTCACCACAACAGCACCCTCCCCCCAATCAAAGCGATCGCATTCATCCTATGGAGGGCATCATGTTTACGGCCACTTGGCTGCAGTCTAGGGTACATCAAGAACCTTTTGACATTGAACTCCATCGTTTCGAGGTTCTTGTTAGTGCCCATTCTCTCCAGCCTCGGGGCTTGTCAAAATTCTCGGTGCCTATGTGGCCAACGTCGGGCCCTATGGATTTCGTGATTCGCCATGTTGCATGTTGGGCTCGTGACGAGATGATGAGGAATGGCGAAACACCATCTATCACCCACTCGAGTGCCGAGATGCTTCAATACCACCCTAAGGGCAGCAACTGGCAAATCGTGCTTGAACCGGATCTTGATCAGCCTCGCTACATGAAACATGTTGCTGAACCATGGACACATCTTATCTGATGTGATCCCCCCGTACCATTTGCATCATGGACTAATTTTTCTTTTAATTTTATCAATAATTAACTATACTTGAACTACTTAGGTAATGCCATTGTTGCGGGTGTATCCGATAATAATAAACTGTACAATTGTTGCGGGTATATCCGGTTTCCTCTCTGCCCACATACTTGCAGCTGGCCAATGCTCATATCTCTCTGAGATGTGCAATTGGAATGTTTGTACTCTTCTTGTTGGAGACCCAAGGATAGTACAGCAACCAATCCCATCACGTCTGCCCCCACGTAGCACCTGCACCTCATTATTTTTTCTACCTTAAAGGTTGGAGACGTGCGATTGGAGTGTCTGTGTTTTTCTTGATTACAAGTACAATGCAGCGACCAATTTCCCTCGTTTGCCTTTATCATAGCATACCTCATCGTGTTCACTCTTATCCTCTGCACCTTCAAGGCTAGAAACATGTGATTGGAGTGTCTGTGTTTTTCTTGATTACAAGTACAACACAGCGACCAATTTCCCCTGTTTGCCATTATCGTACCGTACCTCGTCGCCTTCACTCTCATTCTACACCTCAAAGGTTGGAAACGTGTGATTGGAACGTCTGTGTTCTTCTTGATTACAAGTACAACACAGCGACCAATTTCCCCTGTTTGCCATTATCGTACCGTACCTCGTTGCCTTCACTCTCATTCTACACCTTAAAGGTTGGAAACGTGCGATTGGAATGTCTGTGTTCTTCTTGATTACAAGTACAACGCAGCGACCAATTTCCCTCGTTTACCATTATCGTAGCGTACCTCGTCACCTTATTCTCTGCACCTCAAAAGGTTGGAAACTTGTGATTGGAGTGTCTGTGTTCTTCTTGATTACAAGTATAACGCAGCGACCAATTTCCCCCATTTGCCATTATCGTACCGTACTGGAAACGTGCGATTGGAACGTCTGTGTTCTTCTTGATTACAAGTACAACGCAGCGACCAATTTCCCCTGTTTGCCATTATCGTACCGTACCTCGTCACCTTCACTCTCATTCTACACCTTAAAGGTTGGAAACGTGCGATTGGAATGTCTGTGTTCTTCTTGATTACAAGTACAACGCAGCGACCAATTTCCCCTGTTTGTCATTATTGTACCATACCTCGTCGCTTTCACTCTTATTCTCTGCACCTTAAAAGGTTGGAAAACGCGTGATTGGAGCGTCTGTACCTTGTTGGTTGGAACATCTTGACTGCAAGTATAGTGCAGTAGCCAATTTTATCCCGTTTGCCGTTATTGTATCTCTATTCAGGTGTGTGCCTTTTAATTACTCTTTCCTGCTTCGTCCTTGGTGTCGGGACCTTTTTTAGCTTTTACCTTTATCATCCGCATCTTAGGGGTTGGATATACGTGTTTGAAACGACTGCACTTTTCGCACTTTCCTTGCTTGTAAGGACAGTGTGGTAATCGACTTCATTGCATTGCTGTTAGTGCTCAAGCTCATCATCTTGTTGTCGTGTTTTCCTTTTTTAACAGGCTAGGTCATCTGCGTTGCCGAAATGTCTGTGCTTTTCTTTGTTGCAAGGACAGCGTGGCGATCAACCAACCTCATCATGTTTGCCGTTATCGTCTTCAGGCGTTGTGTCCGACGACGGGATTGTGGTGCCTAAGCTCGTCAAACTCTTTTACATTTCCATTTCGCAGTCTCTCCAATTATGAGCTCCAATACCTCAAGAACAAAACTCCCCCCCCCTCGCCAACCAAGTACCCGTTCCGGAATGTCCAGTCAGCACTGTCCGGGCCCTTCCAGCGCTCACCTTTCATTCCCCCTTTCACCTCCCCACACATATCTTGACTCCGTGATGCTGCAAGCCCCCTAGGACTTCAACAGATTCCACAACTCCGAACCTGGCTTACCTCCAAAATGCCAACCTTGATAGCTTGGGGAACGCTTTGAATAATTTTGGGGTATGAATGCTGCCCGATCTCTTTCATTCTTATTTTCCATCGTTTAGACATCCTGATTTTGTTTTTATTCTAATTCTTATTCTTTCGACTTTACAGTGTTGTTCATTTGGGCTTGGTACCCACTTTGCGCTGCTAAGCTGACCCAACAGGGCGTTTTCAACCTTGCCATGACGTGCCATGGTGCAGGCTGTGACTCGAAGCTCTCGCTTATGCATTCGGGGCCCCTTGTTGAAAATGCCCTGTTGGGTTAGCTTAGCAGCGCAGAATGGGTACGCTATAGAGCCCCACCCCTCATCAGCAAACCTGGATGCGGAGGCCTGAGAGCTCATAGAGCTCATAGAGCTCTCAGAGCTCTCAGAGCTTCAGTACTTTGAAATTGCAGGTCCCCTTCTCTGAGAGCTCCGAAAAGTAGTCAAAGCTCTGAGAGCTCATAGAGCTATATTTGCACACAGGGGACTATTATCTATATGAGCTCCCTGAGTGTTTAATTTACCCGATATTAAAATTTAAATTTAAAAGCATTGACTATGGCATCATGTGACTAGCCATAGCCAAGTCCCTACCATACAAGGGACTGAACAAACTCAGCTTCACTTTCAGCACCAATGCGGCACCAGACACCAAGGGTATGTAGCCCAATCAATATATAAGCCAAATTTAGGGATATAAATGCAGTTAATCTGAAATTACTTAGGGAAAATGCGGGAAAATGAGTGGGAAAATGAGTGGGGGGGAAATGGGGGGGAAATGGGGGGGAAATTGAGGGGGGGAATGGGGGGAATTGGGGGGGATGAGGGAGAAAATGAGGGGAAAATTAAAGGGGGAAATGGGGGGAAAATGAGGGGGAAATGAGGGGAAAATGGAGGGGGGGAATGGGGTGACATTTGGAGGGGGAAATGAGGAGGGAATTGGGGGGAATGAGGGAGGAAATGAGGGGAAATTGAGGGGGGAAGTGGGGGGAAAATGGAGGGGGGGAATGGGGTGAAATTTGGAGGGGGGAATGAGGGGGGAATGAGGGGGGATGAGGGGGAAAATGAGGGAGGAAATGGAGGGGGGAAATGGGGGGGGAATGAGGGGAAATTTGAAGGGGGAATTGGGAGGGAATGGGGGGGGGGGGAATGAGGGGAAATTTGGAGGGGGGAATGGGGGAGAAATGGGGGGAAATTGAGGTGGGAATTGGGGGGGAATGAGGGGGAATTTGAAGGGGGAAATTGGGAGGGGGGAATGAGGGGGAAATCAAAGGGGGGGATGGGGGGGAAATTGAGGGGGGGGATGAAGGGGAAAATGGGAGGAAACTGAGGGGGAACTGGGGGGTTTCTAAAAACTTGAAAAAAAATCAGGGAAAATTAAGGAAAATTCAGAAAATGGGGGACTTTCTAAAAAAGGAGAATGTCCAAAAAATCAGGGGAAAAATCAGAAATTTTGGGATAAGTTAGGGAGAGATATTTCAGGAAATTAGGAATAATTGGAAAAAAAAAATTAATTCACTTTTTTGATAATTCAATGTGCATTGGAAAGTGCCAAAGTGGGGCAATGTAGCAATGTATGTTTCAGTGTTAGAAAAGTCTCCCACCATGTTTTGGTGAGTGTCAGGGCACAGCCCCTCACTATTCCACAATCCCGCATGCATGCAGACCCATGGGAAAGTTCTGGGTTACTCACCCAGAAACCATCACAGCCACAACTGTGGGAACTTTCTGGGTGAGCAGCTCGTTCCCACGGGGGGGGTGCCATTTATGGAAAGTCAACAAAGAGCTGAAAACTGTATAGTTCCTGGCTCCCATTTGTAGAGGAGGTTGAGAAGGTTTAGCCCCCTCAGTGAGTTTGAGGATCTCGGACTGGGACTAGATACCCCAGTGACTAGGAGGATCCCCCTGGGCCCATCACAGAACAAGGGCTGGGCCCTGACAGTGAGCCAAATAACCATGGCTTTTTGACCATGGGAAATTTGGTGTCAAAGGCTTGGATGATATCTGAAGAATACATCAGCTTTTTGTTTGCTTTATTGGGTGGTATTTTCAATTTACTTCATTTGGAACACTTTGTTAAAACTGATTTATACCCTACATAACATGCATGGTTACATTGCCACACTTTGGTGCTTTCCAATTCACATAGAATCATCAAAATTGGTTGAGTTTTGAGCAAGAAATGAGATGAAAGATAAAGTGCAAATTTTGGAATTTCAGAGTTTTCCTCATATTTTGTAAATAGCAATAAACAAATAAGGTGCTGATTTTAGTAAACACAAAAGGTATATGAGCTCTATGAGCCCCCTGAGTTCATAGAGTTCATAGAGCTCATAGAGCTTTCAGAGCAATGACAATGGCCATTTTACACACATATATATCCATATTATCTTTGCACTACTGGTGCCAAAATAACTAAGCAGATTTCATGGAGATATGAAGACCATCCATGATTTAAAAACAAAAAGCTCTATGAGCTCTATGAGCTCACTGAGCTCATAGAGCTCATAGAGTGTTTCAAGTAATGATGCTGGCCATTTAATATGCATTTCCAAAAATGTATATACATATTATCTTTGCACTTCTGCATCCTTAGGAGAATAAAATCATTCAAACATTTAATTTTCTCCACCCAATGTGTAGAGGGTGCACAGCAAAAAGACTCAATTTGCTCACAGAGCTCTGAGAGCTCTGAGAGCTCCAAGAGCTCCCTACCAAGTTTGCTGATGCTGGCTCTTGTCCCTATCATGGCCGTATAGTTGGCAAGTCTTTGATGGTGTCAAGCATTTGTATATTTTTATTTTTGGTCCTGTGGGTGCGTTTGCTCTTATCGGTCTGTGTGGGCCTCCAACCAGTCCGGGACAAGTTGCTCTTCCCACGACTTATCGTTACGCTTGTTCATCCCCCAGTCGATACTGCTACAATCTTGTATTTGGGATACTACTGGATCCGTGTGCCATCGAACCGTGGGAAAGTTCTGGGCGAGCAGCTCACCCAGAATCTTCCCACGGTTAGTTACGTTTGTCAACCTTGCCTTATATCTCATTTATTATATTCCCTGTAACGCTTAGTTTTACTGACACCAATTAGGCGCTGTTATCATTGGTTAAATAAGCAGTTATGGATACTGGGCGCACTGTAAAAAATGCATGGAAAATGATCATCCATATGTAAACGCCTCAACGGTTTTTTTTTCGGTGGATTGCCCCAAAGGAAATAAGCAAATGAATTAACAGTCGATCGATTCCATAAGCATAACAAGCTCGAAGAATGAATAAACTAAATCGGGCAAGCGTCGCGTGACGTGGTTGCTTATTTTTTTTCGTTGCTCATCGCTGCTGATTCTCGTTCCAAAACCATCACTACCGACACTTTCTACTGCTATGGAATCACTGATCTGGGATGACAGCTGGGTCCCCACTGAGCTTTCAAAGATCATATCGTACTTCCAAGGGCATTCCACCATCCCCATCCCCCCACTCTCGGGCCTGCCGTTGGAGGCCATCCAAAGCTGTTGCTCCGGGATTGAAAACTGGATCGAGTACCGAGAAACCCTCACAAAAAATGAGGAGAAAAAACAGGCGGGGATCTCCCCGACATCTACATCCCTCTCGTCATCACACAGGTTTCGCATACTTCCTGCGAGGCGTATGTTTCAAGGCGTTTTCTTTGGGCTCCTTCAGACAAGGCTAGCCCTAATGTGGACGCAGTACTCGTCTAACTTCCCAGCATATCCAAATCCTGTGGAGATCCCCAGTCGTCCACAGCGAGTACATGGACACAAGCGCGAGATCCAGTACTGGGTGCAACAGTGCCGTCTCGCCCTCCTCGACTACACCCCTGCAGGTCAGGAAAGCGGATTTATTGCCGAAATAACGCACCAGCCCCATGAAGCGGATGGAAGCGTTCTTCCCACTTCGCTCCTTGCTGGCGACGCAAATCGGCTTTTAAATAAAGCCAAATCATTCGAGACGCTTGCTGGCCAGTGCCGCTTAGGAGCGAATATCCTTTATGCCGCATGGGGCCTCCGTCAGATTCTCGAGTTAGGATCTGAGTGCCTGGTAAGCCCCCCCCCCTCCCGGAATTGCTGGGAACGATCTTTCCTGACGATCCTACAGCATGAACACATCCAATGGACGAAAGATGAAAAGTAAGTATATCGTATTATTTCCACTCACTCTTGCTCACACGGCGCCAGCTCTCCGTTCATAACGTTGGCACTGGCTGTCTGCGTTTCTCCTCTTGTCCTTCTGATGGACACCACCATGAATCGGGCTGGCACCGTTCCCACATGGACGTCGCTGGCGTCGCATGTCTGTCAGGGGGCCCCCTTCCCCTCTATTTCCGGTGGGGAGGTTGTGATGGAGAACGCGATCCTCCAAGTGGTGGTGAGTGTATGCGAGAGAGGGGGTCTAGCAGTACAGGACCTCTACATCCTCAACCACACATGGACTTACCTTAACCACAACACCTCGAGCCCCCAAGCCCCCCTCCGGACGTTGACCGGATGCAAGAAGACGGTGTTGACCTCCAAAAACGAAAGCGCACGTGCTCGCAGCACTCTGTAGGCCACTCCGACGGGTACAAGGCCCAAGCCACTCGGGCGTCGAAGAGGAGAAAGGGAAAGAAGAAGGCCATGGCTGAAGACAAGTCGATGGAGGATGGCACAGCTGCCACTGTCACGAAGGGGTCCACCTCCAGAGGGGGGATGATGACTGGCGTAAGTTCATCGCCGAGTTTGCTGTCCCTGACCTCGACGACATCAACGATTGGCCTGAGCTGGTCGTCCCTGACTCCACTTCGCGTGTTCCCAACTCTACCCCGCATCCTTCTTCTTCTCACCACTCGACCGAAAAGGTGCGTGTCCAGCATGATTGCATCATGAACGTCAATCTAATCAATGATCTCTTATTCATGATGCAGGTGTTGTATAGCTTCACCTTCTCTTGCGTCTCCACCAATGATGGTATGACTTGTGAATGGAACGAGGAGACATTCCAGTTCCCTAGCAAGCCTGATTCCGTGAGTCCTTTTCTTCCCATGACTAAAACCAGCTAGTGAGATAACTCGTCGTTCCCAGGAACCCATCCTCGTGCTAAATCGCTTGGTATCATCCGTCGCTTGGGACTCAACCTGGTCCCCCCACGCAATGGTGGAAGCTGAAGCGCTCACCATGTCTCCCGAGGATTTCCAATCTTTGGTAAACGACGTGGGCCTCCTTGTCTTGGTCGGGCCTCCCAGCGATACCGTGCTGGACCGTTCCCTTCTCCTCTCTCGGTTGAGCAAGGCAGCTCACGTTCAATGCTTCAGTAAGTTGCCCTACCTTGAAACATGCTGTCAAGCTCATGGGAATGCTCTCCAGATTCTGACAGCTCCAGATCAGGGGAGGATGATGAACAGTCGTGGGAGCCACTGCCACAAGTGATTGACGAACTCACTGATTGGCGAACTTCACGGCCGTTGGTCGTACACCACCTCAAGGGGGTTGTCCGTCTTCCTGTGGAAAGGTAACAATCCGTGTTCTACCATCTCTCACCATGCTGATGATCCATTTCCTTTTCACAGCCTCCTCAACTCTCTCGACGGTCTCCTGTTCGAGTACCTCGACGAACGTGGAGGCGATCTTCCGGAAGATTACAACTCTTGGAGGACACCGATGCTGGCCACCGTGGGGTCGTTTACGGCTCCACACCTGGATGAAGATGGGGTCGGCACCGTCCTGCATTGCATTGCAGGTTACAAGCTGATATTCTTCCCCATTGAATTGGAGGTCCCCTTGATCGTTAAGTACGACGACTTGGATACCCAAGGTAGCATCGGATTCGAGTACCTGTTCCACTCCCCGAACCGGTTTGGGTGCTTCGTCCTCTGCCCGGGGCAAACACTGTAGGGTTTTTCTTCCCTCCAGCGATTTTCCATGGTGGTTAATCTTGTTTTCTAGCATCATGGCCCCGGGCCAGGTCCATTTTGTCTTCATGGTGTCAAAGGAAGACAAGGGAGAGTTGAGCGTAGGGGCCCTGATGCAAGGGTCATTTTTCCTCTCGCCCCGATGCATGGTTCGATCTTTGCACGCAAGTTGGGTGGACCGACTCCTTCAGTCGCAAAGGGGCGGCCCCATGGATAGGTGCGACACCATGACAGCAATGCTGGAAGCATATGTCTTGGACTCACATCGACGGCTGACGAGTGGCTGCTCGTTGGTTGGGCAACCTGAGCCAAAAGAAGTGCTGGCTGCGATGTTCATGGCGTTGGTGTACTCCAAGGAAACGGAGGTCGATTGGGGGCACGGTGTGTGATCCACCATTATGCCGTCTGCACCCGGAGGACTTTAGCCAATTCAGGCGTGAATTCAGCAAAGTTCGGGCTGCCAACCTGCAGGATGGTGGTGACATGTTCACTGCCAAAGACGTGGAATCACTTCGTGGCTCCATGAAGGCTGCGGTCCAGGCGATGATGGACGAGGGGATCCTCAAATAGTTTGTTTTGTAGACAAGCTATGACACCCAACCATCGTTTCCCATGGATATGTTGTAAGACAGCAACGGTTGGTTCGACGCTTAGCGCAAGGATACCCAACCTACATTATCTCGGTGAGATGCCCAATGATTGATGTTAGGTTTATTTCTACTGTCTTATCACTATATGTTTATTTAACATTTATCTTCCTTTTTCCGACCTGTTGGTCGCTTCACTTGTAATAATCCTCACTCCTGTTACATTCGATTAATTGACGCTTAAAAGCTCGATGTTTACTTCGCTGACGCCCTCAGTTCTCATTGCGTTCACAACCGCGAGACTGAGGTCGGTATACCTTTTATCATATTCACTCGTTTACTTGTTCTAAATCTTCACCTAGTATTATTCTATTCTAGTCCGCGTTAGGATAAACTTCTTGCCACCCCTACATCAATTTATCTTCCCTCCATTGTTTCTATATATGTTTTCGTAACAATATATGCACGCAATGTAACAATATGTACACAATATATATATATATATTAACTGAAGAAGAGTGAGTCCAAGAAGAGCAACAGTACACAAAGATATGGCACGAATCAGCCATGTATATAAGGACGAATTGCTGCTTTTCAAGTTATGAGGCGTGGGAAGATTCTGGGCGAGCTGCTCGCCCAGAAATGGTCACGTGTTGGGTGGTCACTGTACCGGAGTTGTCCGAATTGATATCTATTGTCCCAAGCTGCAAATGCGGTGAATCCACAGAAACATCCTGATGCTGTACGCTGCACGCCGAGACTAAACCTAGCCAACCTTTTCTAGAGGGTAGCATAAGAGTAGCAAGCTTCCTCAATGTGAGTGGAGCATACGAAAAGAAAACCTCAACCAACGTGGTGCATTGCTCCTCGAGAGCGAGCATGTAGGTTGGTGTTGCCATAACAGGCTGAAGCGCCTCCTTCCTTCTCTGGCTTCTAACTGGTAAGTTGCCCCGTAGCGCGATGGGACCTGTAACTCACGCATGCTGATCAGATAACGCTGGTCTCTGCGAAATTACTTTGCATTTTCCATCGATTCGTCGTGCGCGATCTTGTGAGTCTATCGCAGCTGTGAAACACTCACTTGGTCACTAAGGTGCTTGGCCTGGCTTCTTCCTTAGTTCTCATTCTGAGTCTTGCCGCTTTTCTTTCACACATAACCTTGATCTCGATGCCGAGTTACTCAACATATGTCGCACGATGAAATCGCAGGGACCGGACCGCATCAAGTTGCCAACCGGCGCAGCCACCCTCCAACAGCTCGATAACGTGGTTGGCACATAAGTCGATCACCTCCTCTGGAGGTGAGAGATCTTAAAACCCTCAGGAACTAGCCCTGAAGTGGTTGCTTTTTCAGGATCATGTTGATCCTCATCATCGTCCGACGATGGCCGTTTCTGCGGATCTCCCATAATAGTTTCTTTATAAACCACTCGTTTTTTTTCGTGTGACCTTGCCCTTGCAGGCGTGTTTTGGCGCCATGGGCAGGAAACCGGATCTCTCTTCGCAGCAAACCTTCAGTAACGACCAACAAGATGCCACCTTTTATGCGGTACACGGCGAACTGGAGCAAACCGCTGAAGCCAGAGTCCGAGGGAAGCATGAACTTGGCTTGGTGGTGGGCCAGAGCAAGTCACTGCTCGACCGGATGGGACACTTGAATCAGACCCTGATGCTTCTTCTAGGGCTA